ATACACAGAAATGCCTGACCTCACATTCCCAGGCTCACTTGCAATGAGCTACCCTTAATGCATAAAGTACCTAAGTGTCAACTTGATTCAGACTTTCCGCATGGCTTCCTTTCCATACACTGTTGGGATGTTAGGATGGGATGCAAAAGGACAGATGAAAAAGATGCTTTCATTTCCTTTCAAAGGTTTCCCTACAACTGCTCCTGACCATGCTTTGACAGATTCAGCAGTGTTTGTCAGGAAATGATAGTAAAATAGTTAAGGTACCTGTAATGATAGCCAGGGTGTGGAAAATGAAGTATTGAGAAAAAAAAAACTCTACAAAGTGTTTTGCTGAAACTTTAAGAAACACAGTGAAGATTATGGTTGGATTTTCCTAGTTATGACATAGTACATTCACAATCTGAAGATAAGAATAAATATTAAACTCATCAATGCAGATGAATGAAATTAAAAGAGAATTTTAGCTGATAACTCAATTGTTCTGGCACAATTATAGATACAGCATGTAGGCTGTATGACTTGTGAAACAACATCTTTTACTCACCTATGTACTTGTTTGATGAAGGCTTCTGTTCAGTGCCAGACATAGTGTTAGACCCTGGAGTTCATGCTAACAGTAGACAGAAGTTCAGTATTTAGTACAATAAGTAAAACGATTAGAGAGTTGACAGTAGCCACAATGGACTAAACAGACTATTACATAGGACAATAGGTTAGTTCAGGTCAAATGAACAGTATTTATAGAAAGAAGTAAGCCAGGGAAGAAAGCATGGAACAGTACATGATAGCGAAGCAGATGGGAGATTATAATGACTTATGCTATTGTAGTGATTCCAACCAGGGGTAATTTTGTACTTGAAGCACCTTTTGACACTGTGTGTAGATGTTGGTTGTCACTAAGGAGGAAGTACTACTGACATCTAGTGGAGAGAGTAAAGGAAAATAGCTTTAGGATCTGAGAAGCATTGGACAATATCCTAAGCCAAGAGTTTCTGTTCCGAAGTGCTCAAAGTTTTGAAATAAGAAATTCCTAGGATATTATGATAGCAGTAAAGTTACAGAGAAGTAGAGTAAAGATGTGGCTTGGAGTTTAAAGCAAAAACATATGAAAATTAATGGCATAGCAAAGAGAAACAGCAAGGGCAAAAGCAAAAGCGACCTCCAAGTCTCCAGTCTCGGTAGCTGGAAGGAAGCTGGAAGCTGGTACTCACATTAAATGACTGGGAGATACTGGGTGATTTACAAATGGTGGCTGAAGCTGGCTATGTGAATCGACAGGTTATGAAGAGGATTTGAACAAAGAACGAGATTTGGAACTCCTTGGCTTTTGACTATGTTTAACATCATAAAAGGGCATGATATCGCCTCGTTTTGTTTTGTTTTGTTTTAAGCATATAAAAATGTAGCCCAAAACTTGGGACTTTAATTCTAATGCAATGACACATTCCTAAGAAGCTCCAAAAGCCACTTGATGTTTTGTAGTGAGTGCCCTGGGTAACATTCCAAGTACCTTCAAGTGTACTCACCACAGTTAGAGAACGCAGTTATAACATTTAGCTCCTTAGCTTACTGTAAGACATTCTTTGCACCTACTTGTCATCATTCAGTATTTGAAAATGGATCAGCAGTAATGTCCACTAGCCCTCCTCAGAGGCACAATGCTGCACAATACCATGGTGCTTTGTTATCTGCCATGGCGTGTGAGTCGAAGCTTAGGACTTAGATTTAGGGATGGAAGGTTATGCATTCATTTGAACAACTTTTATTCTTAAAAGGGCACTGTGATCGTCATAGCCCAAAATGTAACTAGATTCATATATGCACAAAACCTATTTCTTCTAAAGAGCACAGAACAATTAGCAGCAGCTGACAGCCACTCATGAGGAACTCAGTGCCACAAGCCCACGTGCATGACTGCCAGAGAGAAGCATCTTAACAAGGGGATAAATTTCCACCACGTTGCATGTTACAGAATTCTATATATGATACTGAAAAGCACCACAAGTGAGCTGGGGATTTTTAAAGACTGAGTCCTGCAGAATTCAATTTCTCTCTAACAATGAGAGAGAAAATCTCACTCATTTCCTAAAGGCTGCACATTTAAAACATACTAAAATTTCTTGCAATATCATCAAACATGGGGACCAGTTACTGTCATATTATTAATTGAACCAGATTTATTCATTTATTTTGTAGCAGACAAAAAGCCTTGGTCATTGTTCTCTGGGACATGTTTACACTAAAAATGGAGTGTAGGTATGGATTCCTTTAGTTGGAATGTAGCCAGCAGAAAGGAAGTCATATATACTATGTAATAGGGTTTGCAGGAAATAATTCTTACACTGTGGCTTAATGCTCCAGTTGTTCTTTGTATTATTATTTTCATGTTAGATATAAGGATATTACAGCTTGGAGAGTGTAGCAGTCAGATTGATTAGGTAATGCTGAGTAACATGTATTTTACAACTCTACAGAAGGAATGGAAACCCAACACTCAGTTGGCACTACTTTGCCTGCTCTTCTGCTGGCAACAACCATTCAAAACAAGTTTCCCACAAAAGGTGACAGTCACACCCATGTCCCTTCTGCCTAGGTCTGTAGAAGGTTTAGTTTTCTGAATTTTTCCATGAGGATATGACAATGCAAGAAGACCATGTTGGATACCCTTTCCCTGTCTTGTTTTTCGCCTGAGAGTGGAATATAGTAAGATCTCACAGTTTCCTTTGGTTATAATCCTATGAGTTTTCCTCACAGATGAGGTTTCTGTAAACAAAGGTAAGGAGGGATCTAGAAATGAGTAAGCACACAACAGGAGAGGTTTGTTTGTTTGTTTGTTTGTTTTTAACCAATTTGAAAAAAATCTAGAATGTTCTAAAAACAAACTAAGTGGTGGGTCAGAAACCTATTTAATTCCTGACTTTGCATTCCCAAGCACTTCTAATGCAATATCTCACCTACTATGCCTCAGCTTTGGATAGCTCAAGAACAGGTAAACGACTATGTGTGTTTAATCTTAAGTTTAAAAATAAGTCGATAGTTTTTTATTTTCATTCTTACTTTAAGAAATGTTTACCAGTTGTTCATCAAAGGATCAATACGATGACAATCCTTCACAAACTCCTAAATGAGGTCAGATTCCTTCTTTTCTTTGCACTTTTCTTTGCATCTATGTTATGGCTTTCTAAAACTGATTAATTGTTTTTTTAAGTTTGAGAGAAAACCCAGAGCCTAATGTCTACCAGGAAAGAGTTCTATCACTGAGCTACTGTGCTAGGACCCAGATTTCTATGTGTTTCACGCTAGCAGCAACCACATTCCTGTTGTGTGTTCAAGGCTTGGCCCAAAGTTATATAGAAAGTCGTTCCTCAATAAATATTCATATATTCATTTCCTGGATGGATGGATGAATGGATGGATGGATGGATGGATGGATGGATGGATGGATGGATGGAGAGATGGATGGATGGATGGATGGATGGATGGATGGATGGATGGATGGATGGAGAGATGGAT